CTATTGAAGCAAGTTCATACAGTGAGAAAAGGTTGTTTTTTTTTTTTAAATTTTTTTATTTTATAATCTCCGCCGCCATCTTTTCTTTATTCTTCTGTGATTACCGGAAAGAGCAGAATATCACTCTCGGAATATTAGGACGATGTTGGAGGTCAGATTAAGAAATAATAATAATAATAATAATAATAATAATAATAATAATAATAATAAGAAGAAGAAGAAGAAGAAGAAGAAGACAGACAGACAGACAGACAGACAGGAAGGAAATTGAAACCGGAAAATGAACAATTTAAAACGCAAGGATTTGAACAAATCGAAAAGGCAGAATTAGAAAGAGAGAGGAAAACATATAAAGAGAGAAGGAAACAGAAAAAAGAAAGAGGGGCACAGATAAAGGGAGAGGGATCAGATAAAGAAAGGGCCAAACTGATAAAGAGAGAGGAAATCAGATAAAGAGAGAGGTAAACAGATAAAGGGAGAGGGAACCTGAGGAGGGAAGGAAACCGAAAAGAGCGAGGGAAACAGGAAAAGAGAGAGAGAGAGAGTAATAAAAAAGAGAGAAGGAAAAAGAAAAGAGAGCGGGAAACAGGAAAAGAGAGAGAGAGAGAAATAAAAAAAGAGAGAAGGAAACAGAAAAGAGAGAGGGAAACAGGAAAAGAGAGAGAGAGAAATAAAAAAAGAGAGAAGAAAACAGAAAAGAGAGAGGGAAACAGATACAGAGAGAGGGAAACAGATAAACAGAGAGGGGAACGGATAAAGTGAGGGAAATAGATAAAGAGCGAGGGAAAGAGAAAAGAGAGATGGAAAGAGAAAACGAGAGAGCGAAACAGAAAAAGAGAGAGGGGTCAGATAAAGAAAGAGAGATAAACAGAAAAAAGAGAGGGTGTCAAATAAAGAGAGGGTGTCAAATAAAGAGAGGGTGTCAAATAAAAAGAAGGGGAAACAGAAAAAAAACAGGCAAACGGACGAGAAGTGAGGTAAACAGATAAAGAGAGTATGGGAGGAAGGCAAGAAGGTGATAGAAGAGGAAGTGAGATTTATTAATCTTCGATGTCCTTATTATTATTATTATTAATAATAATAATAATAATAATAATAATATTTTTTACACATGATAACGAGAAGTCAATGTAATCTCCACAAGTGATCATTTATATTTCATACCATTAGCTGAGCACTCAAGTGAAAGATGCGAGACATTAAAATGGATATGTTCAATGTAGTGATTGTAAAAAAGAATAAAAGGAAAATTATTCATATATATATATATATATATATATATATATATATATATATATATATATTATACAGGATATCCCAGAAATCATGAGGGGGATTTAAAAATCTACCAAATTCAACCATATTTTTATGATTCAGAAATAGTTTTATACGGTATGAACCATCAAACACTAGAAATGTATTCTCGTTTAATCATGAAAAAATGATAAAACCTCAAATATCTTGCATTTTCTCTGTCATGCAAACACGTTTAGCAAAGTTTCTAACCTTTTTTGGCCAATGCGCCCTTTTCACTATAAGTAAGGATTAGCATTTCCTCCAGTTAATCTAAGATTGTCCAACTCAAAAGGTGAATTTCCAAATAATATGCATATATTATTGAGAAATCTTCATTCTTTTCCATATTAGTATATATACATTTACATGGGTTGTTTTTTATAGAAGAGTTTTTTTTTACACTCATGATGGACTCAAATTTTTTTTTTTAAATAAGAAAAAGTAAAAGAATTCGCCACTGAAGAAGATTCTTTGCCGCAACTGTAAGTTTCACGAAATAATTCCATCGCCAGACGCCTATTTTATGATGATCGATTTAGTTCCTGAAATTAGCATGAGTACCAAAGGACTTGTAAAAGATTTATAAAGGCAATTTTAAACATCGGTCTATATCATCTGACTTTGATATATATATATAAAGACATTTTCTATGTGTATACGTTCTTTTTATACATACAAATTTTTAAGTAAATGCTCTGTTTAAAGTATTACCGGCCTAAATGTCCGAGAAATTTTCATAGAAAATATACGTCCACCGACAGGAATCGAACCTGTATCCTATACGGAACCGTCATAAAACCTGACACGCTTTACCGATTTAGCCACGCGTTTCGATTAGCGAGGTCGATTTTACTGTTTTTAAACTACAATTCTCCATGATTTTCTCTTGTACATTCTTATCCGCTTGATGCGTATCCAAATGTAAACAAATGACGTCACACATTATGAAATGGACAAAGTCCGACAATTATTTCTTAAGACAATTTTTATGTTTATACGTTCTTTTTATAGATACAAATATTTAAGTTTAGATATTTAAATACTGTTTATTATATAAACTCAAATATTTGTATCTATAAAAAGAATGTATAAATATAAAAAATGTGTTAAATTAACTGTCAGACTTTGTCCATTTCATAATGTGTGACGTCATTTGTTTACATTTGGATACGCATCAAGCAGATATGAATGTATAAAATCATATATATATATATATATATATATATATATATATATATATATTTATTTATTTAAAATATGATTCCAAATCGCGACATAAGAAGTCCCATGTTTCAAAAAAAAGAGCCGAAAACTTCAATATAATTATTTAAATTAAATTGAGTTAAAAAAGCTCTGTTCCATCTTTAAACGATTTTTTTTTGAATATATATATATATATAAATTTATAATTTTTTAAACTTATTTATATAAAGTTTCCCACCTTGATTCGCTATCCTATATATATATATATATATATATATATATATATATATATATATATATATATATATATATATATATATCAAATCAATATGATATATAACGTTGCTTCCAGGACAGCCAGAAACTTTGAAAATACTATCGATCATAACAAACAGTTCATCCCCATTATAAGTACCTGAGGATTGTAATAAACATGAAACTACCAATCGTAATTTCGACGTAATTAATATGTATATTTATTAACATATACTTTATAGCTCTGTATTACCACATTGAGTACTGTCTTGCATATATATATATAGTTCGAACTCCAGTTGGGAAAGGTGTGAATCCTCTTCTTCTGCAGCCGCGTTTATTGGTTTATCCTCTCCTTTGGACTCTCCTAGCAGAGGGTCAACTAGACGTCCGGGCAGCCCTAGTCCTCCATCATTTCTCGAGACGGACGGCTGCCGACGACGAGAGAGATTAAGAAAAAGAAAGCCGTTTCGTCCTATATTTGGAACTCACCAGCAGTGTACATCCACTACCGAGAATTGAAACCCGGACAGTAACATTGACGAGCGGCGCAATATCGAGTCTAGTTCGCTACCTCTGTACTAACAGGCCTCGGTGACGAAGAGGTAGCGAACTAGACTCGAAATTGCGCTGCTCGTTCATATATTCCGTGGTGGAACTCATCCAAGTTCCTTTACCCATTACCATTTACCATTACTCCGAGAGCCACGACTACCATCACCAAGCCGCTCCATCCTGAGCATTAGAAGCCGGTTCAGGTAAGGATATACAAATGATAGAAATTAACGAAGATTTAAAAAAATTAAGTAATTCATCGAGTCTAGAAGAAACCTCAACAAAATGCAGAAAGGACTAGACGGCCGTTTCGTCCTATATCCGGGACTCATCAGCGCATCCACTACCGAGAATTGAAACCCGGATAGTCACATTGACAAGCAAACGTCATACCAACTGTACTAACATGCCTCGTTGACGGAGTCGCTGCTCTTTCACATATTCCGTGGTGGAACTCTTCTATCTATCTATCTATCTATCTATCTATCTATATATATATATATATGTGTGTGTGTGTGTGTGTGTGTGTGTGTGTGCGTGTGTGTCAAAGTTTACCCTTCTAAGGAAGTTTGTTTGGCTTTTGAACACTTGAAACCGCTTATTTTCCATTCAACATCAACACTTGAAGCGTCCAAACAAAACCGCAAAATTCTGTAGTAATTTTATAGCATGCATTTGTTATAAACTTGAATAGAGCAACATAGACATACAGACACACACACATATACATACATATATATATATATATATATATATATATATATATATATATGTGTGTGTGTGTGTGTGTGTGTGTGTGTGTGTGTGTGTGCACGCGCGTGCGTGTGTGTGTGTGTGTGTGTATGTGTATATAGGGTGTTCCAGATTTCGCTACCAACTTATCGAGCCGCCCAGGAATTGCGTCAACTGATTTCACCAGGAACTCTTGTGATATGGAAGACATAACTTCCTATATTCCCCCTTTAAGTTCTTCCAAAATCTTGGTTTGGTGTAGTAGACATGTTCATTTAACCAACCCCAAAGAAAAAATTCACAGAGTGTTAAGTCAGGTCTCTTGGCTGCCCACCCATACATAAAATAGGGTGTATACACACATACACAGACACAATATATATATATATGGTGGATGAAAAAACCTTTCAAACAAATTGGTATCCGAGGAAAAAAAATTGGAAAAAAAAAGAAAGAACCAGAAACTTCCGAACAGGTCGAAAGAAATCGTTCAGTACCTTAAATTTCTGGTACAAAGAAAAACAAAAACAAAAACAAAAACAGCGAGTCATAAGTTAAAATGAAGAGTGCTCAATACGCTAAGTAGAGAAAAAATAAAGTAAAAAAAAAAATCCTAATGAGCCAGATACTACCTACCTTTTTTAATTAGGATCTATTTATTTTACAATTATATATATATATATCTTTGTCAAAATTTTCAAATGCAGAGTCAAGCAGATGCATTTCACACCGTTTAAAAGAACTGGGCGTCTACTCAAACACGTGTATCCAATGAAATATCACGTTGGATGTCCTAAGGAATAAAGTCGGATTAAAAATTAAAAATAAATAAATTCATTAATTCGCTAGAACTTCCTTTGGTTACGTTTTTGGATACGAAAATAAAGTCAGTAGATGTGGACTTTTGAGGAAATTTGAACGCGAAGATGTACATTCCGTAATAGGTTAACTGAACATTG